ATCTGACACCATTCGGCTGGTTTAAAAGCGCAGGGCGCAGAGCGCTTCAACCAACTTTTAGAGCGGCTCCGCTCAGCTCACTGTACACGACGGAGGGGAAAACAAGCCAGCCAATTAGAAAAGTTACAACTGTATTAGGCACGTGGGGTTTGATTGTTGTTCTTTGTTCCGCACTGACGAAAAATAGTGAAACAGTGTTTCACACGAGCAACTGAGACGAGAATGGGATCCACGCCACAGATGTGCATGCTAGGCAGTGTGTATGTGATCGGGCTGTCCTACCTGTTCGTCCTATGGGGGGTTGGGGGGTCCTCCTCTTCTAGATTATGACAACAGCAGCCGCCGCTTTGTTGGACTTGAGGAAAAAAGGGGAAAAACTTCCACTTTCAATCGTCTCTTCTATCCTAATGCTGAACCCAGCATTTAAAGGAAATCATCATTAAGAAAACTACAGGCATCGCACCAACCCTTTCACTACTTTGTTGAATCTGCGGGGGCCGGGGAACTATCTCGCCTTTTTCCACGCTGTTTGTGATTTTAAGTAATAAAAAGAAACGCCGTGCGACCCACAGAGGCACGATGGTGCTGTGTCTAAACCAGCAGCGAGGCGCGCCTGAATGTCAGAAGATCTATGCGAAAAAACCAAGTGATGGAGCGACGGGCTCTTCTGTTCTAAACTAACAAAGAGTTCATCTGAGGTGGCTGTTTTATTCCGAACGTCCTTTTCTTTTCAAAACATCAGCTAGCAGGTGAAACACCTTTCCCCCTCTGCTCCCCGCTGTTTCCTCGCGCTGACCCGGCGGCCAGTGCACGCGACAGCTACAATACAGACAGTTTGTTGCACAGAATGGGGAAGCTATTACAAGAGAGAAAGAGAGTGGGAGAGCAAGCTCCAGTGAAACGGAGAAACAAGACTGTCCTCTGCAGCTGCTACCTCTGCGTCCCTCCGCGAGTGTGAACCGGCGCGAGCTCATCTCCTCCCGGTAAAAGATGATGATACGCCAAGCGAGGCAGAAATGGAATGCTGGGGATCCCCTGCTGCGTCCAATCCTGACGTCTCTACCGGTGTGCCGGCGTCCGCGTGTGCGCGAGTCACTCTGTGTGTGTGTGTGTGTGTGTGTGCGGACGCGCTTGGATATAAATGGGGCTGCATGGAGGGAGGGGGTAGCTGTCATTGTGTGTCACAACTGAACTGTAACAGGTGATGGAGGGGTGAGCATGAGCATCACAAGGAGGCTTAGACACTCGATTACGGTGCTGTTGCCTTAAATAATAATAATAATAATTCAGTTTAGAAGATGGAAGCTGAGCACACTACCATGCTCACATCGTTACAGTCACAATGTTAACATTCAAACTATATGAATAGACATTAAAAACTATATAGAGATGGACACTTTAGATAGAGAAATGAAATCTAGGAACCGCTGGATAATCTTTAAATTGCCAGAGTTTCAAAGCCTACCCATGTTTAAAATTTAGCACTGCAAGAAACGTACACGTAGAAGAGAGACAAATTATGCCGTTTGTAGGTGAAGTTAGCTGCCTTACAGAGGACTATGACGCATACACTGTATATATA